TTTTTTCTGAGAAACGATTGACGCATGATGCACGATGCACGATCTTACGCGCGATCGTTACACGCTTCGGAAATCGGAATTTGCATTCTACACACTGAAAAAAAATTGGTTGAATTAACTTAAAATACATACATAATAAAAACAGACTTTGAAAAATGAACAATCCATAATTTTGGTTAAAATGATCAGACAAATTTGGTTGCATATATCCTGATTACGGCAACCAGACACATTTTGAGTTGGCTTTGCACGCTCACACGTTGTATATTTTTATATTTTCTATACTCATTATTAAACCTATGTGGTGTCAAATTTAACCTAATTTAAGTCGTCACTGCTCCTACTCAATATATCGTTATTTTATACTAAAACAATAGCTAAATTTAACACTATATAGTGTTAGTTTGACGTTATGATGTCAGACTGACACTATATAGTTTAAATTCAACCCTTGTTTTAGTATACAATAACGATATATTTAATAAGAGCGATGACTTAAATTAAGTTTTTGATAGTATAGATTTAACAATGTAGCATTTTATACTATGTTTTTATAGTGTTGAATGTCACAATAGCTGCTAATACTCTATAAAACTAATTATAGATATTCAGAGGTGCCAAAGGGTTTGTGGGTTATCGCCGTGATTCATTGCTAATGTCAACGTTTTATGAACCTTGCCTTCACCAGAGCGAGGGTCGCACTGATACTAATAATTCAAAAGTAGTTATAGATATTATAATTTCAATGTTCCCAAATTTATAGTTGCCATAACTATTTTCTTTCAGTATTTTAATCATAGTAACTATAAGATATTTCGATAGTATTACATTGAGAAAAATTTTTGATTGAAAATGAACGAACCAGAAAATTCTGATTTGTCCATTTTTAACTAGAAAATCCAATCAATTTAACCATTGTTTTTCCAATATACCTACTACATATGCACTAATCAAATTCTAACTGGTATCATACCTAAATGTTGCGTATCAAAATATTTGATTACAATAATCAGAAATTCTGTTTACTGCCACAAAAATTTGCTTAACCAAACATATGTTGTTAATTAACTATTATTGTTTTTTTCCCGCGCATGCATTATCTTACGAAACATCGGATGCACGCAGAGCGTCAAAATTGCTCTTATGTCGCACGTTCGTTGAAATAATTCGCGCCACACTCATTTTCCTAAATGTCGGGAGTGAGTTGTGTAATACGCGTCGGAGGCCGTGGCACGGAGGCGGAAAAATTGATTTTACAACGCGGAATCTATCGGTCACGGCGCGGCGGCGCGGCGTTTAGCGTCGGCGACGGTGGATTTCTCTAATTATTTCGCTTTCACGCCCCGTCGGCGTTCATGTCCGCGTTAATTTGTATATCCACTTGTCGGGACTAGCAAAGGGCTGAACAAACGGGCTCTCGTTAACGTCGACTCGTTAAAACGGCGATTAAATCACATCCGTCTGACGGAATTTGCGTGGAACGCGTGTAATCGCGAGCCGTGTAGATTAACGAGGTGAGAGGTCCGTCCGGTTAAATGAATAGCGGGCTGGGAGGATAAATTCTCTTTTTAAGAATCTTTTATACGCGTGCCATTTCGAAGACGCGTTGCGTGACTTTCGCCGCGAGTGATGAAATGAATACCCGCCACGCATGATCGTAAAGTGCAACGCGCGATAATATTCTTCTTCACGTTTTACTATTTGCTTTTTATTACAAATAGTCTATCGTGAAACACATTTCGTGTTCCATACGACCGGACGATAAGTATGCGTTTGCAAGTACTTCATTCTGGCGATAGGACTCGAGCGATGATCGTCCAGATAAAGAACGTTCAGAGGCAGCTTGCGTGGTCATGTGGGGTTTCATCAAGATTTTCGTGAACACGAAACGAGATTAGTCACGCGGATTAGAGCGCGCCTTTCGTGCCAGAAGAGAGACGGACACGAGGTACCGATTTGTTCTACTTACAGAGCGTAGCGTGAGCCCGAATGCACATGTAGTTTTTCGTACGTCGACTTAAAGATCCGTGTCGCCGACATTATCTCGTTCCGTCTCGTTCTTTTTATTGATTTCTCGTGCACGAACATTTTTTTACGTTTTTATACAGCTGACATTCGTGACTCGAAATAATCGCGGATTGCTTAAAATATAAGCGTAAACTATTGATTAATTATGAATATTGAAAATTTAATGGAATTAACAAACTCAAAAGAATCAAAAACTTTTTATTATCAACAATTATGTGAAAAGAACACTCAGAAAAAAGACAGTGGTAGCAACCATAAAGATAACAATTATATAATTTTATACGTAGATAATATACATAGTTAATATACATAGTTGAATAAATATTTTATATAAAATAATTTATTGAACTATATGTATACATTAAAATTTACCTTTATTTGCTATCATTACGCTTTTCTCTGAATGAAAACACATTAAAATGCACTTTTTTCTTTTGAAAAATTCATCCGAAAAAGAGTGATTAATCATTTATCTTTAGAAGTATTACGTATTTATAAATCATAGGTGCTTTATCATATTCATAATGATTATCAAAGCTACTATACTAGTTATATATCGTGTGATGTGTGCTTTCCTTGATTTTATGAAGTCAACACGTTGAAACATTAATCTTTTATCAGATTATTTGGACATTCCGTACGTTGATATGGATATGGGATAATTTAATGTCGTAGATCATGTGAAATATAACCAATGTAACAAAAATGTAACAAAAATGAAACTCGCGGTAAACAAGCTTAGCATAAAAAAAGCAGGTCTGACACATCGAACGGTGAATTTACAAGCGAAAAATAATTCCGCGATTTCTCTATCGGCATGGTTTACGTACGTTTCTTCCAATTTCACATCTTTCGTTCAGGTTTATTCGGGTTATCGATGAAGATTGTGCTTTTTTGGGCTACTTTGCTATTTCGAGAAATCTCACTTTCCGTCTGCGACAATCAATTGGATTTTCATCTTTTGTGTGTTACGTATAAAGAAACTCTAGAAATCTTCCAGAAAACCTGCTTTATTCTTTACATGACATATAACACACTTAGATAGTTCCGACGTTCGTAAAAGCTCGACCGAAAGCAGATTGCCGCGCAAGCGTCCCAAATAGATTTACCATAAGTACTCACGACTTTCTTCGTTACAGAAATAAATCACGTTCAACACGCTAAAAGCAGTCGAGAGGGAAGAGATGGGAGGACTGGGATTCTCGCTTCAAAGGAAAAAAAAAGCGCGGAACACCCGCCGTGGCTGCAATCTCCGAGATGCATTTTCGTCTGATGGTCGCCGCTTCTCGCACACGTAGAAAATCCCATTTTGCACGGCGCACCTGCTGAGTGGCCACGTGAGATGGGCGACGAGGAACGCGTGTCGGAGTCCGATTGTGATAACCGGAATAGCTTCTTCTGTAATCCCAAGGCCGCCGGCACTTCGTCGCGCGACCTTTGACACCTCGACCGCGCTCGACCGGCGAGACACCTCCCGCGATACTCTCGCGGATACTCCTCTTCTTTCACCACGTTTACCTTGAAATACCAGAGGCGTGTATCTCTCGTGCGAGGGAAAGTGTCCGGTCTTGTCGTTCCGCAAGATTCTTCATTCGTTTCCGCTGTGGGGTGTTTATCGCAAGAAGGACCAAGTCGTTGGTCTCTATGAAGTACCATCCGAAAATCTTGTAAACGTTCCCTTGTCTCATGATACATATTTCTAGAATTTATCGTCGCTATAGTCATCTTCCGGGTAGCGCAAGCGGAAGCGCTTCGAAGATAACTAGATAACAAACAGAGAAGAGCAAATAGCGCGTTCCCTATTATAACTTACATCCTGTATCTTAAATGCAAACATCACTCATGAGAACCTTTTAACCTCCTCCAACCTTTTTAGCCCCCTTATAGTTAACAGGAACAACTCGCAGCCAGTAGCTTGTGAAGAAAGCGGGTCTTTGTAATACTCTTTATTGCATCATAAAAATGGAAAATGGAGGTTTAAAAAACGGTAATTGTTATCATGCATAAATTGCGCAGTCTAGTGTATTCAATGTCATACATAAATCTTCCGCATTGCTAGATAAAAACGCAGCATCAGCATAAAAGAGAATGTCATTGTAACAATATACGCTTATTCTGACAAATCTGTTAGATTACCTGCAACTATGCGTCGGGCATTTGCACATTCCATCTTCACAGACAATTACGTATAACAATGACAAACAGGTATCCTATTGAATTAGCAAACAATACTAGCTATTTTATTCTACTAATTTATTACACGACACGTAGAACGACACTTATGAGATTGCGATCTTTTACACTGTTAAATCTATAGCGTCAAATTTAACCTAACGTGAGTCGCCACTGCTCTCAATCATATCGTTATTTTATACTAAAACAATGGTTACACTTGTCAAGTTGACACTATATAGTGTCAAATTGACACGATACAGTGTCATATATAACTATTGTTTTGGTAAAAAATAACGATATGTTTAGTAGAAGCAGTGGCGACTCACGTTAGGTTAAATTTGACACTATAGATTTAACAGTGTAATTTTTCTAGGTTCACTTTAAGCTGGTTTTATTTAACCTGATTTTTATTTGTTGAGAAGGACAAATGAGCCAAACAAAACGTTACTACTAATAAACAATATATTTTTTTTATATAAAATTAAAATTAAACAATATTCAAACGTTTCAATCTCACAGATCAAAATATTTGAATGTCATCTAATTTCAATTTTATATAAGAAAAATGTATTGCTATTTAGCGCTAACTTGTGTTGATTCATTTACCCTTTCTGATAAATAAAAAGCCCTTTTTAATAATTATTACATATTTAAGATATTGTCCATTATTACATGATTAAAAAATTTTTAATTCGCTGAGCCTCTGTAGATATTTGTTTTTTTTTTTAAAGATTTGTTTTTTTTCCAGATTAAGCTTTATACTAATTCGACATTCAGGATAAATAAATTTAGTCCAGTTTCCTAGATAATTTTACATGTTTTATTGACTCATTATCAAACGCAGTACGTTCTCGCACCGCATATTTCAATTTTTTAAATCTTTTGGATTTAATATGTAGCTTATATAGAGACTAATATAATTTTTGCTGCATCTAAATCGGAGATATGTTAACGCAGGTACAGGGTGGTGAACATTATGAAGGAATATTAATACACGAGCGCGCGCGCGCACGTATAATGTGTTTGGTATTTGAAATTACATTAAATAAAGCGCACTCTTTTTATATCGCTGTTTGTACTTCAATAAAAAATTTGAGGACAATTTATTAGACGCACGTCCTTCATATGTAACTGTTGTCTTTTATGCAATAAGTATTTCGAATGTATGATGTGTAGTTGCTACGTTTATGATTGATTTATTAACATACGTATACTGTAATATTAAGAAACTTTTTAGACATTAATTAACAATAGGTAAAGCGTTACTGTTTATCGATATAACGGTATTAAAGTTACTCTCGATATAATTGAAACGTGTTTACTTATGCATATGCAGGTATTCTTTTTTTATGAATCTTTTTTTATTATTGTGTCAGATATATTAAAAAAGAAAGTGTGTTTTATACAATCGGATTATTTTGCGTGTCATTTGAATGATTCATTTAAGTACAAATTGTATCGGCAATTTTACGGTTTTTTTTTCTTGGATAGAGGGAGTCTCGCTTGGAAAATATCTCGCTATGGAAATTGTTCGCTGCGACAACAACTTCGACGTCGTGAGAGATACGTCATAAGAAATGTAGTCGAATTGGAAGATCCGATTAAACGGTCGCGATGGCGATCATGAATGATATATGAATGATATTCACGACGTGCGATCATAATCGGATTTCGTCGTTCGCTCGTACTTTCGTTTCTCCATCGAGAGACCCCCGAAATGAAGGGTACGAAGCCCTCCTTTTCTCGAATCTCGTCGCAAATATCTACTATCTACATCTTCTTATAGCATCCTCGGCAGGACCAAAAACGCCAACGACGCGATCAAATTTATCATCACTGCGGATGTCATCGTGGACGCGCTCGAGAGATTGAGTTGGTTTCTCAAGTCTTTCGGCACATCGACGTAGACTTTATCGAATCCCACTTCTTTGATCAGTTTCGAAAGCTTCGCGACATCGACATAATCGTCCTCTAACGACCAGATTGTTAGGGTCGCGTCGGTTGTATTCTTCAACAACGCCTTCATACCATCGATATCGTTCGTTGCGAGACCAGCTCGTACTGGATAAGTTATCGGCAGTTTGATATGATTCTCTGTTACAATCTCGATCATTTTCTTGAGCTGCTTCATGTTATATCGACCCTCGGTGATGTTGTGTTCCTTTCCGTACCTAAAATATTGACGAATTGTTGAATTTCTCTCACACATCATGCGATTAGATTAAAATTAGTTTTTGATTGCTTTATTATACAATATTATATGTAATGAATGAATTAACGTATAATGGATCTAACAAAAAGAAATTCTTTCGTATTGAGATAAAAAATTGTTTATTTAATTAAATTAATTGTTTATTTGATTAAATTAATTTAGTTATCTTTATTTATTTCCTTGAATAATGCATGTATAAGTCAAATATAATATGTTTGATTTAAATACGTACATTCTTCATCAAAAGAAAGATAAAGATACGAATTAAACTAATTCACTTAAACGAACAATTTTTTTCTCAGTGAGCAAATGCGCTAAATATTTGTGCACATTATTTGTTTGTAAAAGCATCACATTTCACTAAAACCTTGTAGGTGCAAATAGTATAAATTATTTTTTTAGCTGTTAAATCTAAAAATTTTTTCTTTATTATTCAGCCAATTAAGCTTTAGGCCCAGTTCTATTTATCTTTTTCTAAAATTACAAAAAAGTGATGAATAAATTGAACAAAGATTAAAGTTAACATTACATTCACATAGAACCGAGCTGAAGCATTCTCGTTATAATATACATCTCTAGTATTGACGTGCATTCAATACGTATTTCATTAGAGCGCTCTAAGTTGAATTATCTCCTCTCTCAGGGATTTTATATTTATAACCCCTTTTTTATAAGAGATCTTGTGCGATGAGGGTCACATATATTTCTTTGCTTATACAGCTGATTAATTACAAGGTTACATATTAGAAACTGCTACTCTGTTCACGTTGATAGTGCATGTTGATAGTTGTTTACCTGGTTGTCCAACCAATAGAGAGAATAGAGTCCGGCATGACTTTACTAGCTTCATTCACGAACGTTGCATTAATCACAGGGGCAGTAGCATTGATTGGTCCACGAAGAATGTCCGCATTGAGGAAAATTGGACACATCACCTGAACAAATAAATATATTTTTATTTATTTATCACGTTGTAATTACCTACATACTAAATAATTAAGCGATGCATTTATGTATACGCACGGATGGTTGGAACTTTCTAAGGATAGGCTTGCTGTTATTGAAAGCTTCATTAGACTTGAAGTCCAGCTTGATGCCTTTGGTACCGTTATTGAGAATGATATTGAGGAACTCCTCGAGCGATAGATCACTCTCCGTAGCTGGTGGATGCGCCATTATCGGGATATTATCGGTGGTGGTATTGCTGACGGTATGTCTCCCCATCACGATGTCGCCCTCCAGCATCATGACATCCACTTTAAAAAGGAAAGTCGGTTGTCTGTGAGTACGTGTGTTTGTATGCGCGTGAGAGTGTGAGGTAGCAGCCGTGGTTGAGACGACCGATTGGGCGGGTTCCAGCTATGTGCATACACGTGTGGCGAATATCGATCACGCCTAAAGAGGCTGGGAGACTGTCGGATCCATATATCCGCCAGTATTAACGCTCGAACGACCGAAAATTTTAGCTTTTCCAAGATCGAAAGCGTGGCGATAGACTCACGTTAGGTCAGGACTTATAGCACGAAGGGACGTGCGACGTCCCTTTGCAGGTATCCCTTTTTTGCAACCGTCGCGCTTTGAGGGAGGTTTGCAAAGGATTTCGAACGAGGGATGAACATTCTTCTGACATAGTAAAAAGACAGTGGAAGATTTATTAGAAACGTGCAATGGATGTACAATCAACGTGATGAATTTTTAATACGGTTTTCATCATTGAGCGACGCACTTAGTCACTAAATTGAACAATGAAGGTCGAACTTCCGTTTTCGACCATTGGCTACTTTGACGTCTCATTGAGATTCAGCACAGAGGCACGGATGTGCTTTTCGAAAACTCCGCGTCGAACGTGACTGTATACAAATGACTTGCCTATGAAAGATCCAGTCGTACATAGAGGAAGAAAATTTAAATTCGAGAGTTCGGATCTTTTTTTCTCAAGTGCGAAGTTGAAAGAAATTTCCGATTATAAAGTAGTTGATATATACTGCATCCATCCTGAATCGTGATACGAAATGTGCGCGTGTCAGAGGGAAAGACGGCTGTCGAAAAACGCGAGATTAATCTCGATATGACTTATACACGGAATCGCGCTTCGCGAAAGCGCCTGAAAGAAATCTCGAGGGATGTAGACATCATCGTGAAGCTCTTTCCTTCGCTGTCGATATTTCTGGATGCACACTTTTCAAGGACATCCCGCTATTATTTAAAGCGCGCCAATATAAAAATACGCGCCATCGGATGCGGGTTGTGTATACAAAGGCGCACACAATTGGACGATATTCATATATGGGAATATCCATGAAAGTGACAAACGCAAGCGTCGGCATTGAAGGCTAGAGTCGTGCAAAATGCCACGTAGTTCATTAACTAATAATACGTTGACGGTCGATGGAAGTTGCAAACTCACGGTAAATTAGTGTTCTTTCGAAATGCGAACGTTTTCCCCGAAGTTACGTTTCGACTGTATATCTCAATATTAGGTATTTACCCGAGTCATTTGCAAATAGTTTCGTTTTAGATAGATATCTAAATTGCTTCATATTACTGTAACTTCGCAGTTTATTATTATTTTTCTGTCAGATACCGTTAAACTATATCACTGTTTGTTGGTGATCATTTAAAAAGTTGCACAACTTTATCATTGTACAACTTTATCTTTTGCAATTTTATTAATGTAAATAACGTTGTTAATATTAACTCTTGAGTGGTTACGTCTTGAAAGCAAACTTCGTTGAAATAATGTCCACGAAATTATCTTTCAAATGTCGACCTATATGTACATCGTTTTGCATTTAATATGAGATTGCAACGTTGCTTTATTCGAAATCTCCCAAGTTACAGATTTCGTCGACAGAGCGGAAAATTGAATAAAAAGCGACAAAAAATAACGTATATCACCCGCGGGTAGGTCCGCTCAACTATTAACAATACATGTTCACTCTCGACATGCAACGAACCGTATTTAAATATTCAATTGAAATTTGATAAGAAGCTAGCTTGATTTAAAATTAGTACTTTAATGATAATAATGTCTATTAGTATTCTGTCTCGAATCAAAATTTTTAAATCCTTTTTTATCTAAATTTTAAGGAACGTTTTACTTTAAAGTCACGCCGAATATCTTTAAGAGAAAGGTATATGTAGTTTAATTTGAAGTTAGCTTAATTTAAAGCTAGTACTTTAATTACGTATAATAATGCCTATTAATAGTATTCTGTCCTAAATTGTACTTTTTTACTCTCTTTTATCTATGATTCAAAGAATGTTTTAGTGAAGTCACGCGCGTAGAACATCTTCAAGACGATATCGATGTTTTCGGTAAAGCCGTGATATTTGAACACGCGATAGTAACCAGAGTAGCGTCGTTTGTCTCTCCATTTCTCGAGATGCAGTAAACGAAGGACGAAGGGAAACCCAGGTCGCGCTTCGTGGGTTGCAGTGTCGAGTGACCTACCTGACGCGAGTGCTTTGTCCAATTCCATCAAGCTGTTAACACCGTGCGCCCAGATGATTTTCGTGAGATTGCCTTGGATATTCGGAAAGAATTCACTTGGATAGCATGAATTCGAGCAGTTTTTGCACATGGCAGTCTCTGAAACATAAGAAACCCTTTGACTATTATTATCAGAGTCGCGTTTCACATTCGCGCGATAGACGGTCTTGACCTTCTCTATCGATATTCTTGAAACCACCTCGACCTATGATCTCAATATTCGACTCATGGTTCACTCCATAATTGAGCGAGAACTCGAGAATTCCTCGCGCGGCACGGCGACCGAGAACCTCCATCTGCTCCTCCTATTATACTGTTCGATCGATAATCACGTTCATTTGTCACGTTCGTTCCGAGAGGCTCCCAACCGTCATCGAGCCAACAGTATTTTGTGAAATCGTCGTGATCAGTGAGAACGAATCCAGGAGATCATCTCGCTGAGAGCAGCTGAGAGATATATTAGGTCTGTTTGCGTTGCTTGCACTTTTTGCCCCTAGCATTTTCACTTTTTCTCTCTTCAACGCCCGAATATACAGGGTGTCCGATAAAAACCGTAACAATGCTTAAGAGTAGATTCCTAAGATTTTGGGACGAAAATTCTAATATATCAGAATGTCGAAGTTATAATAGTCTTTTAATTATAAATATTTAAAGTTAGCGAATCATACCGCTTAAAGTTCGCGCGTTCAGGTATGGTACAAAATACTAATCACATCTAAACATGCGAACTTTAGACAATACGATGCGCTAACTTTAAATGTTTATAATTAAAAAAACTATTGTAATTTCGACATTTTCGTGTTAGGATTTTCGTCTCAGGAATCTACCCTGAACGTTGTTACACGTCTTTACCGACATCCTGTATATTTACTTTATATTAAGTGCAAAAATTTTGAGGGATTTCAAGCAACGCTAACAGATCTATTGTTTCTTCTGACGACGCTTATTTCTTTCGTTTTTTTTTTGTTCTCTGCTTTAATTTGCTTGATAGTTTGGATATGAATAGAAGCAGGTTATGTACAAAGCCGCGACCATATTAGTTAGAATGAATTAATAATGGAATTGAGTTGCATTTTATGTCGTTGCGCATTTGTGGAAAATTCCACGGTTCTTTTTCCCCTGTGGATTAGATCATTTCCGGTATATCTCAGGGGCCATGTGGCGAGCAAACTTTGCGCACGCCGAGTGATCCCTCCGAGCAGATTCCGAGGGCGATTGGTCTTCTTGCAGAGTCCTTTTGACAACATCATTTTTTATAAACAATCAACAATCGTCGACTTGCATCATTGTGGGGAGAGGTCCGTTTGAAAATGGATTATGTTATTATTTTTTTAATTTTACGAAAATTCTCACAGAAAAATAAGAAAAATTTCGCAATAAATACCTTTTACAAGTATAAATTAAAAATTTCTTTCTGTTATTGTCAAGAAAGAGAATTACAACAACAAAAGTTTTGCAGACATATTATACTTGACAATGCCAGAGCGTCATTTAAAGTCTAGTACTGATATTGACTGTAGTAAGAAAGTTCCAGCGGCTAATCAGCTTACAATTGGAAGGTAGTGCTTGTTCCTTGTCTACTACTAGCTTGCAACTGGAGCATAAAAACTTCGCGACGATCCCTTTTTTAGCTTTTTCCTACATAGCCCGCAGGTTGGTGTGATTATATTACTAGGTTCGTTAAGTTGCTCGGAATTTTCTACAGACTTCTCTAAAAAAAAAAGGTCTCACGAAAAATCAATAATCATGCAGCCGCGCCAATGATTCTGATCGATTCGTTTCTGGTCCAACGATCACGAGATAAACCTAGACTCATGTTGAGCAATAGAGACATGCTCTGAACCGATCTTTTTTTAAATATTAATAGCAACATTTTGTTCGTACATTTCCGTTGTATTTTGTTTTATAGCTAATAATCATCGCTATTTAATTACGTTAATACTCATGTACTACGAATATCCCCTCTCTTTCTTTCTCTTTTTCTAATCTATCTGTATTTATCTCAAACCTGTGCAACTTTAGCTGCGAAGCCAAAACGCAAAGCCATCAATGCAAAAATGATAAATGTGAATAAGATTTCGGGGACTCTAAAATGTTGATAAGCGTCGCTTAGACACTTTACAGTCCCCGAAATCTTACTCACATTGATTTTTGTTGATAGCTTTGCGTTTTGGCTCCGCAGTTAAATTGGATAGGCTTGATTTATCTATCTATCTATCTATGTATCTATAAAAATTTTTAATCTTTCAATGAAATCTACACTGCGACGAACAAAAAGAATTTTGAAAACAGTTATAGAATTATAGAGAGAAGAGTTATAGAGAGAATGCGTTACATAACAATAACGAGCCTAATTTACTTATGGAAGAACTGTTGTACAGTGAATTGCATTTGAGCAATGACACCGTAATAAAGTTAGCTTTGCGGCCACTCCCGGGTTAATGTAATGACATTTCTACGAAGAGTTAATACCTCTATGTGTTTTAGACATACGATACTAAGGGAATGACTCAGTAAATAGTACTTGTATTGCTCACGCAATGACTCATTTTGATCCTCGTCACCTATGGTGCTTCATTTAGAGCAACTTTTCGAATATTATCTTTTTTAGATATCCGAATCGTTCAAGAAAAATATTACTGTTTACAGTACCCGTAAACTTTATCCTTACCAAAAATTTGAACTCTCATCTATTATACATTCCAGCAGCATATAGAGGAGAAGATGGTATTATGTATATATTGTGGCCTCCCTTAATATTTCCGCTATTATATAGCGAATCCTAATGATTACTTATGGAATTATTAGTTCAGTAACTCGCCGTTACACCATGACGCTAATATTACCAATACTCAATAACCAGCACTTATAATGCATTTTTACTTCCAAGTATTTTGAAACGTTTCTGAAGTACACTTTAGCATTTAGTTACACTTACTTCCTCATTTTTCTTAAACTTGAGCATATTATCACACGAATATAGAGTAGGTGGTCCGACAGTGAACCAATAGTACACTATGAACCATTGCGATATTTCGTAAATGCGACGTTACCAGATTGCGCTGTTATCATGCAATGACTTGCATTTGAACTCCCCCTCGGCTCCTCAGTCGGCTGACAAATTGCGCCAAAGGCGGCCATGTAATATCACATTTTAAGAATTTTGGGTTGCAAAATAAATTTTTTCCGTAAGTTTTACGCATTTTTTATGTTTTTATTGTTATACCTATCATTTTTTTCATTGTGCAATAGCTTTGTGTGCACATTTGGCTTTATTATTCTGTAAGCAACTTTTTTCTGTTGTATTATTTTACCGCATTATTTTGGAGATTATTGTGGAAAAGGTTAGGTGGTCTACAATGAATCATTTTGATGTAATGAATAATGAACCATGGCACATAACCTTTTTACAGATAACCTTCAAAATAATAATTCATTGTGGTAATTAATTAGAATACGGCCCTTTTCCCCATCTAAAATCTTAATAAAAATGTACTCATTCGACGCATTTTCACTCAAAACGAAAGAATCTGGCAGAAAAACGCGGTGGTCAGCCTTCTTGAGAATCCTTATCATCTTATAATTTTCTATTTTCTAAATAAATATGTTAAAATATAGCAAAACTAAAATAATCCCAACAATTCGCAGTATAAAACATGCGGTTCATTGTTAAAAATAGCATGGTTTATTGTGTACACACCTCTTATACACAATGAACCACTTCTCGTTTTTTGAAATAATCGAAATTGTGGCCAAACTTAAAAAATAACTTAAGAGTTATTATTTACAGTACGCAGCCAACTAAATTCGTAAACTGTATGCCAAAATTCAGATCTTCAACTCAATAATTGAGAGAGATATAAGCCTCTGAAATTTACATGGCTCATTGTTGGACCACTTATCCTATGTATTTTTGAGTGTGTTAATAAATTTGTGTTGCTATTTAACATTTTATTTGACTATATATATTTTGAGTTATGCAAATTTAAACAATGGCATTTTGCTAATGTAGCCTTCTATGGATATTGATTACTCACGATCTCTTTTTTGAGGTTTTCATATCAAAATAATTATTTGATAATCAATTGTAACTTTGCTGTTAATCTATTGTTTATATTAAGTATACTATTTTTAGTGCTGAGATTTTTAATACTGAGCAGTTTATATGCAGAAGTTATGTGAATGTATATACAATTCATTTGCATACATTTTAAAATGTTTTACTTTTTTGTTAATTTTGTAACCAAATGCTGTTTTCTAAACAAAACTAATATTTTAAGACTATTTTTGTGGAAGGCCACATTATCACCCATTTTTTTCTTAGAGTTATTATGCAATGTCGCAACATTTTTATTAATAGTATCCTAAGTAATAAATATTTCGTAACTTTGAGTACAGAATCGATTCAACAACATTTTAATGAATTTAATTATCAAGTTTTAAACTTAAATATTGATTATTAACGAATTATTGTAAAATGTAACTGGGGTGCCATAATACCACCTTCTCCTCTATACATATCGCACACATACATATCGCCGCTACAATGTCTTTGGAACGAACGTTTCCGGCCCGGCGATCTCACATAGAGACCATACTGTGTTCAAACCGGTCTGACTATGGGGGAAAATCTCAAGCGAACCTTCGTTTTTGTTACGAGCGGTCGAGGTTCACTCACGCGGCCGAACGCTATGGAATCGAGGCAATTGAACTGACCTCGACCGAGCTCACACTGACATACATTTCTTATTGAAAGTGAAACGAATTAGAAAATTCTAATCATATCAATCAGAAGTCTGGTTATTGCAACTAGAATTATAATAGATTTAACCAGAAAATTCGTATTTGTCTATTTTCCACTAGAATTTCAATTAATGCAACCAGACTGTTTTTCGAAGTAAATTATTCAGTCGGACAACTGGTTGTTTGTTCGTTCAAGGTGCAATGTTTTGTAATAATAGGATACGTCACTGCACTACGTTTTCCGGGAACTTTATCTTCACGTGCGAAGGTTTCTCCATATTAAAAGGAATATTCTAGTACGATATAGTATAAAAATAAACATTTGTTTCAAAACACAATGCGATATAAACACATAT